CCAGGTGGGTCTCGAACCCACGGGCTCAGGCAATCCACTCACCTCAGTCTCCCAAAGGCGCGGGATTACAGGCTGAGCCACCGAGCCCGGCTAAGAATTTTTTTTTTAATTAGCCAGGTATTGTGGCATGTGCCTGTAGTCCCAGCTGTTTGGGAGGCTGAGGCAGGACAACTGCTTGAGCCCGGGAATTCAAGGCTGTGGTGAGCTGTGGTGGTGCCACTGTACTCCAGCCTGGGCGACAGAGTGAGACCCTAACTCAAAAAGAATGAAAGAAAAGAAAAAAGCCTTGGTTCTGTTTAGGATGAACACATTAAGGGTTGAAGCAAGTGCTCTTTGGGGAAAATTGAAAGCTGACCTTTAACTAAGCTCAACGGGTCAGTATGGCTGGTGACGCAGTTACACACTGTTCTCCCATCCTTTCACCACCAAGAACTGGCCATTCAATGAGGTCAGAGAGAAAACCATTCCACTGGGCTGAACGCTGGTTCCTCACAGATACTATTTCTCAGGAGCGGTAGAACTTGGGGGTCAGACAATCCTGGGTTTTGAAAATCCTAGCTCTGAAAATATATCAGTGGTTGCCAGGGCAGGAATGGGGAGAGAGGTCATCCATACAGGGGCCGCAGGAGGGCACTCTGGAGATGACGGAGCTGCTCTGTATCATGACCGTGGTGGTGGGACCACCACTTTGTACACTTGCCAAAACTCCTAAAACCACACAGTGAATTTTAGTGTATGAAAATTATTTTTCTTTTTTTCCCCCCATGCTCTCACCCATGAGGCAAACTATGTAAACTAAATTTTAAAAATGAATAGGTGGGGGAGGGGTCTTGCTTTTCTAGGTCGCTCTTATGCTGAGCCTCAGTCTTCTCATTTGTAAAGTGGGGTTACCAGTCATGCTTTAGAGATTAGTGTGGAGCCCAACAGTGCTCAGGAAGCACTTATACTGTCCTCTTTGTCATCTCTGACACCAAGAAGGGCACTGTTGGGGAGGGTCCGTTTCCCTTTCCTTAGAGTAGGAAGGTTCTCTTCCCTGGCTGTACAGTTATGCTCCCCTGTAAACTTGCTAAAAATACCAAAGCAGTACAGAGGTTTTTCAAAAAACTGAAAATAGAACCACCATAGCATCAGTGATCTCACTACTGGGTATTTCTCCAAAGGAAAGGAAATCAATATTTTATATTGATACCAGCGCTCACATGTTTAACACAGCACTATTCACAATAGCTAAGGCATGGAAATACCTATGTGTCTATCATTGGACAGATGGCTAAAGAAAAGGTGGTGTATATACAAGAGGGAACCCGAAAAAAGCCAGAATTATCTTTTGGAGGGTGGGCCCAAGTATTCCCAAACACTCAGAATTTGTTCCTCTGATCGAATGGTCAACCGGATTTTTTATTTGGAAGTTTTCAGAAGGTTGCATCATGATTTGCGGTAGAAACATTCTGAATTGTGGCAAACAGGTGACTGGTTCTTCCACCATGACAATGCACCTGCCTACACCACACTGAGTGGTGAGCAGCTTTTGACCAAAAACAGCATGCCCAACCCTCCCTATTCATCTGGTCTCACCCTGAGATACTTTTTGTTTGTTTCTCTGGATGAAAAAGTCTTCAAAGGGAAACGTTGTGCTGATGTGGAAGGGGAGAAACAAAAAACGGGAGAAGCAGTACAAGGCATTAAAATGGATGAGTTCAAAAACTTTTGAGCAGAGGAAAAACTTGATAGGTGTATTGCATAAAATGGATAGTAGTTTGAAGGTGATTGAAGTTTAAACGTGTAAAAATAAATACACTTAAAAAAACAGTTTTTTTGGGTCCCCCACACAATGGAATACTATTTGGCTATTAAAAAGAATGAAATAATATCATTTGCCACAACCTGTAGGGAACTGAAGGTCATTACGTTAAATGAAATAAGCCAGGCACAGGAAGACAAATTTCATGTATTCTCACTCATATATTGGAGCTAAATAAGTTGGTCTCATGGAGGTAGAGACCAGAGGCTGGGAAGAGTGTGTGGGTGGGCATGAAGAAAGGTTGGTCAATGGGGACAGACATAGGTAGAAAGTATAAGTTCCAATATTCCATAGCAGAATAAGGTAACTATAGTTAGCAATAATGTCTCACATATTTCAAAGTAGCTAGAAAAGAGAAATGTTTCCAACACAGAAATGGTAAATAGGCAAGGTGATACACTAAATACCCTGATTTGATAATTATACATTCTATGCATGTAACAAAATATCCCATTTACCCCATAAATATGTAAAATGTTTCAAACTTACTAAAACTTGCAAGAATAGTGAAAGAACTCCAGATATCTTCCTTCAGCTTAAACGTTACATTTGTCATTGGGTTTTGAAGTTTTTATTTTCTGAGTCAGACTTTCACTCTGTCACCCAGGCTGGAGTGGCCCAGCCTCATTGCCACCACAGCCTCAACCTGCTGGGCTCAGGTGATCCTTCTGCCTCAGCCTTCCAAGTAGCTGGAACCACAGGTGTGTGCTACCACACCCGGCTAATTTTTGATTTATTGTAGAGACGTGGTCTCGCCAAGTTGCCCGGGTGGGTCTTGAACCCTCAGGCTCAGGCAATCCTCTCACCTCGGCCTCCCAAAGTGCTGGGATTACAGGCTGAGCCACTGAGCCTGGCCTAATTTTTTGATTTATTGTAGAGACAAGGTCTCACAAAGTTGCCCAGGCTGGTCTCAGACCCCTGGACTCAGGCAATCCTCTTGATTCTGCCTCTCAAAGTGCTGAGATTACAAGTGTGAGCCACCGTGCCCAGCTTGGTTTTGAAGTTCTTGATCTCTGATTCTAGTTATTTCCCCCCACTTTACTATTTATTTTTTCAATTTCAGTTATTTTGAATGATTAAAATACTTATATTTAGTACAGTTGGACTTCGGAATCGGTATGAATTTTGGCAGTGGGGGACTTGGTCTCTCTGGCCCTCTGCAGAGCCTGGAGGTTGAGTGGCTGCTGCGTCCTTGCTGCGTGGCCCTGACCTTGGCTTGTGGGCTGGCACTGCTGAGTCTGCCGACCACACTAACGTTCTTTCCTCTGCCTCCTCTCCACCCCCACCCCACACCATCTGGCCTGGACTCAACTCGAACAGATAATTCCGTGCCAGCCTCTGCCACCCGAGGGAGTCAGGCCACCGCTGAGGAGAAGGCGGAGGGCAGAGGAGAGGTGGGGCACTCGCTGGGCCACCCAGGGGCTGCCCGCTCTGGCCCATCTGCAGGGCAGGAGAGGGCAGCCCACACCTACTTACCATGACTGGGAAGATGATGGCGGCCACGGTGGACTTGAGGATCCAGAGCACCGCCAGGCAGAGGATCTGCACCAGGGTGAAGAGGTGGATCCGGCGCAGAGGCACGTGCCGCAGGAAGGCGTGATCCGGCTGGTGCTTGGCTGGCATCAGGAAGAGCTTGCAGCGGTCCCAGAACTGGGGGCACAGGGCGCGGTTGAGCCAGGAAACCCGGCCCTGGGGGCCTGCTGGGGTCTGGGACTGGGAGGAGGTGTGCTTTGGTGGGGTCTCAGGGAGGGTACCCCTGCTCAGGCCTTGAGGATGCACAGGAGGGGGGCTGGAGTTGTCCAGGCAGATATACAGTGGGGTCTTAGGGAAGGGGCCCACAGTGGGTGAGGAGAGTAGCTCTGGAGCTGGCCACAAAATGCACGGTTGCGGACTGGATGTCTTGGGGAATGGAGGGTCCCAGAGCAGATCTGGAGCTACAATGTGGGTGTGGGTGGAGATGTGGGTCACTGGGGCTCTACTGCTCCTCTCTCTAGGTGGGGTGACTTGTCCAGCAAGCAGCGGCTCTCCTGGCCTGGCCCTTCATTTGACCCTTGTTAGACCTTGTGACAGCCACCTGGTCTGGCAAAAGACACTCCTAGAAAGTGGGAAAGCTTCAGACTGCTCCCTCCTCATTTTTGCCAGCTCTTTCTGTGTTCAAGGAACATGCAACTTAATTGCAAGACGAACTATCCAAGACATCCTGGGAGTTCATGGCAAACAAAACAAAACAAAAAGTTTTCTTCGGTGGCATTGCCTTAGGGAAGAGAGAGGAGGTATAGTGGAATGTACACTGGTGTCAGCTTGATCTGGGTTTGGGATCCTGAGCCTCAGTTTCCCCATCTGTAAAATGGGCACCAGAGGACTAATGATATAGACTGAATTCCGACACCTATAAAGTGCCTAGTGTTATTTTACCTGGCACATAGTCAATGGTAGTATCATTATTATTATTATTCTTTCACTGACTTGGGAAAACATTTGGGGTCTTGGTGACATGGAAGTGGACATGGAGTGCCCAAGTCATATCAGCAAGGGGAGGGGAAAGCCTTACCTGGATGCCATTCAGTGAGGCCACACCCATGTAGAGGAAGACTCCATACAGCACCGGCAGGGGGATGTACTGAAATGAGAGCAAAGCTCTGGTTGGGCCTTTGGTCACCCTGTTCTGGATGATGGTATCTGCCAACCACGGAGGCGGCTGGGGACTGGATGTCTGGGGGAATGGAGGGTCCCAGAGCAGATCTGGAGCTATAATGTGGGTGTGAAGTGGAGAGGAGGGTTGCTGGGACTTTACTGCTCCCTTCTGTAGGTGGGGTGGCTCACCCAGCAAGCAGTGGCTCTCCTGGCCTGGCCCCTCGTTCAACTCTCGTTGGACTTTGTGGCAGCCACGTGGTCTGGCTAAAGCCACTCCTAGACAGTGGGAAAGCTTCAGACTGCTCCCTCCTCACTTCTGCCATCTCCTTCCCACCTCCTGTCTCAGCTGAGGACCCCCTAAAGCTACTCAGCCTGCAGGGGACTGGTGGCCTTTAGTGAGCTGGCCACTATCAGCGCCAAGGACACTTAGCAAAAACCACACATCCAGCCTGAGCAACATAGTGAGTTCCTGTCTCTACAAAAAGAAAAAAAAACCAAATTAAAAATTAGCCAGGCATGATGGTGTCCACCTATAGTTACTGGGGAGGTTGAGGTGAAAAGATGGCTTGAGCCCAGGATGTCGAGGCTGCAGTAAGCAATGATCACGCCCCTGCATTCCAGCCTGGGCAACAAAGCGAGACCCTGACTCAAAGACAAACAAAAAAACCCAACCTCAAACCTACTGCTCAGGTACGCCCAGGTCCCTGGTGGTCTAGTGTCTAGGATTCAGTGTTCTGTCGGGTATGCTCGCATCAGTTCTCAAGCCAGAGATATTTTCTATTGTAAATAAATCAACCAGCATCATGATTCTTTCATAAGGTCAACCTGGAATGAGCTGTTTCGAGATACTCAGTGGGGAAAATAATACCTGCAAAAAGTTGGGGCAATTACAGGTAAGCTTAGTTACAGAAGGGCGAGTCTCATGCCGGCAATGATAGAGGGAAAGGGCAATGGAAGGTGGCTGGCTGGAGTGGAGAGCAGAGAAACTGGGATGAGGACACCCGGTGCCTGACCAGCAGTAGACTACTGTGGGAACACCTGCCTCCAATGTACCCCCTGTCTGACTTAGGCTTTTCCAGCTGGCCTGGTGGGCGACAAGCAAGAAGAGAGAAAAATCACTCAGATGCTTAAGACACGAGAGACAGAGAAGTAGAGGGCAGGCATGGAGAACAGCTTGTGAAACCTCCTCCCTGCAAGGTTTAAGCTTTGGAAAAGACATGAGCAAAGGTGCCTCTTGCGTGCCCCAAGCCACCATGATGTGAACATATACCCAGCTCGGGAAATTTTGAGTTGGGGTCTTACTCTGTCACCCAGGCTAGGGTGCAGTGGCACCACATCATCACAGCCCACCACAGCCTCCACCTCCTGGGTTTAGTCAGTCCCTCTGCCTCAGCCTCCTGAGTGGCTTGGACTGCAGGTGTGACCACCATGCCCCGTTAATTTTTTTTTTTTTTTTGGTAGAGATGAGTTCTTGCTATGCTACCCAGGTTGTTGGTCTCAAGCAGCCCTCCCACCTTGGCTTTCCAAAATGCTAGGATTCTGGGCATGAGCCGCTGCTTGGTTTGAGAAGTTCCTGATCTAAGCAGGGACAGAGCTTGGCAGAAATTTCTGAGGGGAAAAACATCCTGCAGAAAGGCGAGTTGGTCTCTGGGAAGGGTAGGATAAAGAGCGGTGAGGGCTAGTGATGATAACAAATGATGCAAGACCACAGAAAATGATGGCGATGGTGTTAAAACAGAACTTTGACCTAATAAGATGGTGCCTTTTCAGGCACTCATAGGCCAGTGATCTCCAGGCCGTGTGAGGACCCCTCCCTGACTCTGAGGCATCAGCTCTAAGTGAAGGCGCAGAGCCTCACCTTCAGGATGGGAGCCAGGAAGACAGAGATTCCTGTCAGGATGAAGACGATGATACCAGTCACCCTCTGTTCCCTGGCAGAGAAGAGCACAGGGTCAGGACATACCAGGAGACACACGGTGACCATTCCCAGGCCTCCTGACCCTCTGTGGGAACCTGAAGCTTGTGACCAAGGCCATGGCCTCATGGGGCTTCTGTGTCAAGCTTTGCCTGGTTGCCTGAGGCCCAGATGATCCACACATGGGGAGATATGGAGCCCTTGACTGAGACGAGAGTGTTTTGCAAGGGCCTGGGGAGGCTGTGCAGTGTCATGGCTAATGGCTGGGCTAGACTGACTTGGATTGAATCCTGGCTCTGCCGCTTGCTGGTTGTGTGGCACCAGGGGAGGACCTGACCATTTTGAGTCTTATTAGATGCATATAACAATGGCATCTACCTCAGAAGGTCATTGTGAGGGTAGATATGATGAAGTGCTGCCACCCTATCCTTTGATTGTACAATCTCACTTTTATGGGGCATGGTGACTGGGGATCTGTGGGAAGGGGGTTTGACTACCAACAGGGACAGGAGGATGGGTGGGTTGTGCCCAGGCCTAGTCACAGCCCGGGCTGGAGTCACAGGATCTGGGCAGATTGCTCAGGCCCAGCCATTGGCATTCAGGGGCCAGGGAGGGGACAGTTCCCTGACCAGCCCTGAGCCCTGCAGTTGGCCACAAAAGCCTCACTTGGGACAGGCTGGATGGCCCGGGATCCCAAGGCAGTAGGGAGGAGCTCTTAGGACAACCACTTAAGAGAATGCCAGAGTCCCTGCCTTCTCATCCCAGAGGCCCTAAGGGGGAAGATGTACTTCCCTGCCTGAAGTGGGACAAGAGAGGAGGGGGAAGTGAAGGAACAGGAGTGACAGGTTGGGCCACAGTCAGGGGTGGGGTGGGCCCGAGAAGCCCTTCTGGAGGAAGGGAGATGGAGCAGGACCTGAATCCACAGGAAGGCCATGGGGGACGGCAGGGGCCTGGAGGGTCTTGAGGAAGCAATAAGGGACAGGACAGTGTGGCCTACATAGGTGGGAGTCTGTGGTGCCCATGTTTGTGCATGTTTATGAATGGGGTGTGAACTACTTGGAGTCTAGTAAGAAAAAAGCACCACTCAGAACTGAATGTCTGTCTCTCTCCTTTCCCGCCTTCAGGGGTATCACTGCTATCCCTGCAGTTCCTGGGCTGTTAGAGCAGGGCCCTTTTTGTCCCAAAATTTTGATGGTAAGCAAAGCTGGCTTCCCCTTCCCCGGTGGGTCACCTCTTTAGGTGATAGCTGGGCCCTGACCCCTCCTACCTGACTCCCAGGAACTGGGGCTGCTCCCCAGGGGCGCTGGTCTCCGTCTCCATCTTGAGGCTGTCGATGTGGGCGATGGAGATGACCGTGGCAGCCACATACCAGGGGAGCCCCATAAAGGAGCACAGGGCCATGAGGATGCCCACCCAGAACAGGTCCAGATGGTAGCCAGCAGCCTTCTGCAGGGGGGAGGAAGGGGAGAAGCTTCTGAGAGACTGCTCATTCCTAGAGCAGCCATTCTTTATTCAATTCATTTTATTTTACTTTTTTGAGTCAGAGTTTCACTCTGTGGCTCAGGCTGGAGTGCTGTGGTATGACTGGCACAGCCTCAACCTCCTGGGCTCAGGCAATCCTCTTACCTCGGCCTCCCAAGTAGCTGGGACTACAGGCACTCACCACCATACCCGGCTACTTTTTAAATGTTTTTGTAGAGACAAAGTCTCACTATATTGCCCAGGCTGGTCTCAAACTCCTGGACTCCAGCAGTCCTCCCATCTCAGTCCCCCAAAGTGCTAGGATTACAGGCATGAGCCAGTATGCCTGGGCCAGAGTAGCCATTCTGTGGAACATGGTTCAAGGTCTCCCCTTGCCTTCCAGAGGGGGCCGCCACCCTGAGGGGCTCCCTGAGAAGTGTGCAGGCCTTGCCATTCTCAGAGGTGGCCTCAGCTGCCACCCCATCTATGAGGGTGAGCCATGGAAGGGACACAGGCCATGGAGGAGAGAAATGTTCAGGCTTGAGCGGCCCTGGGTTTAGTCCTTGGGGAGAAGGCCTCTCATGTAGTGGCCACAGGATCTGCGCAATCCCTGAATGTAGTTCCTGAAGTCCCCCAGTGCAGGCAGGACTTAGGTCAAACCTGGGATTGGGAGGGGGTAGCCTGAGTCCTCTCAGACCCGGAGGCAGGGAGGGGGTTTGCAGGGTGCTGGAAGGCTAAGGAACTTCCTCTGCCTCAGGGTTCCGGGCTGATCCCCCCGCCAGGATCTGCTCACATGCTCACATTCATATCAAGAGCGTCAGAGCTGGAGAGTCACTTTGGGAAAGGCAAGGGGCCTGTGCCCAGTGACCCAGCCTGGCTTGGCCCTACACAAACCAAATCACCCCAGACCTGGTGGCCTTACCCACATCTGGGGGTCCCCTCCCCCCAACACACCAAGTGGGAACTTCAGCCTTCTGTTCTCATGTTTTCCTGTCTCAAAGCATTGAAAGAAGCACCACTTTCTTCTGACTTTGCGGGAAGGAGTTCATGCCCTTGTTCCTCGCAACAGCCTTACCCTCAGCTTGTTCTCCTTCCGATTGACAATGACGGCTGTGATCTGCTGGTCCATGAAGATCAGGATGGTCACCAGCAGGGCAGGCAGGATGCTCACTGGGTACACCCACCATGGGTTCTTCCCAAAAGGGGCCACGAGCCAGCCTCGGTCAGGCCGTGTGGGCTGAGTGGAAGTAAATGAAGAGGGCCCTTGCCTCTTCCCTTGTCCCAGGGCACTCAGTGCCTGGCCCGCGCCCCCACCTCTGCCTTGGCTTTTCCCCACCAGGGGTCCTGTTCAGGTGTAACCTTTTCTCTTAAATATTTAGGCACCTGCAACTTTAAAGAGATCACAGAAGCAAGCAGATGTGGGGAGGTATGTGAACACAGACGGTGTCTGTGGAATTAAGGAGATGTTTGCTGCAACCACTCTGGGAGTGCGCAGAAAACAGGGAGGTGGGATCAGAGGGCAGCCAAGAGACACTGTGTGGCTGTTAACTGCAGAATAACCAGCAGCAGAAATGAGGTCCCACAGGTAAGACTAAAGACATTGATGGGCCCAGTGCCAGTTGCTTCTGCCTCTTGAGTCATCTGTCTGGGGAACATTATGGAATTGTCTGTAAAACAGTGAACGTCAATTCAGACTGCATGTAAGGAGTTATTTGTACAGAAACTGGGCTGAAGTGCATCCTTTTTCTTTTTCTTCTTTTTTTCTTTTTTTGAGTCAGAGTCTCACTCTGTCACCCAGGCTGGAGTGCAGTGGCACGATCATGGCTCGCTGCAACCTCAACCTTCTGGACTCAGGAGACCCTTCCACCTCAGCCTCCCGAGTAGCTGGGACTACAGGTACTTGCCACCACACCTGGATAATTTTTTGATTTTTTTTTTTTTTTTTTTTTTATAGACGAGGTCTTGCTATGTTGCCTAGGCTGGTCTCACACTTCTGGGCTCAAGCAATCCTTCCACCTCAGCCTCCCAAAGTGCTGGGATTACAGGTGAGAGCCACTATGCCTGGCCTGAGAAAGAGGTACTTTAAAATCAAGGCAGGCATGAGTTGCATGAGATGTATTCAAGCTACTTAGGAGAGACCTGAAATAATATCTTTTTTTTTTTTTTTTTTTGAGTAGGAGTCTCACTCTGTTGCCCAGGCAGTGGCAAGCTTATCACCACCACAGCTTGCTTTGCTGAGCTCAGGTAATCCTTCCACCTCAGTCTTCCAAGTAGTTGGAACCACAGGCATGCGCCACCACATCCGGCTAATTTTTTGATTTATTATAGAGACAAGGTCTTGCCAAGTTGCCCAGGCTGGTCTCAAATACCTGGACTCAGGCAATCCTCTCACCTCTGCCTCCCAAAGTGCTAGGATTATGGATGTGAGCCACCATGCCTGGCCTGAAATAATATCTTGAATGTCACACCTCAAAGACAGGAATGATAGGTTCTAGCATCTAGACTCCCTATCCTGGTTAGATGGTGGTGCTCTTGTGAGGGAGCAGGGCTGAGTTTAGCTACAAGCAAGTGGCACCAACTCTGGACTCATGGGTAATATCTGAAGCAGTGATTTTCAAACTAAGCATGCCCAGAATCACCTGGAGCACTCATTAAAATGCAGTCTGCTGAGACCCACCCCAAGCCTTTCTGATTCCATAGGTCTGAGGTGGGGTAAGAATTTGCATTTCTAACAAGTTAGAATAGGTGATATTGGAATAGTGATCCAGGGCCCACACTTGGAGAGTCACTGTTTTCAACAGATCCCACTTGGCCCTGTTTGGAGACTGCCACAGGTCAGGGTATTGGAGACCCTCCCAGAGAAACTAAGAGGTTTCAGTTAGGTGGGAGGGTGGATTCCAGCACCTCCCCCACCCCATGGCTACACAATTTTATTGTGGATATGTCCCCAGCCACTACCTCGAAAGACTGTCTCCTGAGAGCCTGTGTACAGGAAAGGGCGGAGCACAGACAGAGAACCGGCACAGTCGCTTGGCTGAGAGGAGAGGAAAGTTTGATCAGTGTAGAGGGGGAGGGATCTGCAGCTGTGGGCAGGCAGAGTGGGTGCCCAGAGCAGGGGCGAGAGGCAAACCTTGATGACACTGGGCACGTGCAGCTTGGGGGTTTCCAGGCCGAAACAGGCATCAATTCCACAGAACATCAGGATGGAGAAAACAATGGAAAAGTCAGCCACCAGCGCCCGGACCTTCAGACAGGAGATGAGCAAGTGAGTGAATCCCCTGCCCACCCCCAGCTCCAGGCAGACCCCACCCTTGGGCAGCAAAGAGGAGAACCGTTAAAGCATGGGCTGTGAAATCAGCAGAGCCAGGCTCTGCCCCTTACTGGCTGTGTGACCTTGAGGAAGCATGTCATCTCTCTGAGCCTCAGTTTCCCTTTTCTGTAAGATGAGAATAATGACAATTTCTTCCTCAAAGACGTAAGTGAGCTGTGACACCTTTAGAGTACTTGGCATATGGTACTCAAAGTGGATGTTATTATGATCCACGTGGCCATGGCAGCCGCTGCTGAAGACGTGTTCTGGCATGATAGTTGAACCTGGGTCACCCAGCAGGTGTGGGGAGGGCAAGGGTTGAAATCTGAAGGAAACTCTAGCTCCTACAAACCTGTGATAGGTTGTTGTAAGCTACCTGGTCTGGGAAGGAGGCTACCCAATTCCATGGGGATCCTTGGCTACTCTCAGACCTCTGTCCACCAAGAGCCTCTTGCTTCTCTATTTTCTGGAGGCCCTTCCTAGGCCTAGTTCTGAAGCTGACCTCCCCGCCCATTCTGAACCACTGTTCTCTGACTGTCCCTTTATACCAACTCAAGTTACAGAAGTCTCAAGGCAGAGGGTCTCCCAGTTATCTACTCTGCAACCTTTTTTTTTTTTTTTTAAAAATCTTTTCACAGAAGGCAATTTGAAGGGCTGTGGCAGATGACAGCACATTGACTTTATTCCCTGCATCCCCCCACTTTCCTTTAATGTTGCCATTAAGATAGAATTGGTTGAAAACCCACACAATGTAAAAAGACCAACAGTGAAAAGCAGACTCCCCACCTCATCTTTTCTCAGTCCAGCCTCACCTTCTAGATAAACCTAATTACATCTGCTTGATTTTGTTGTAATGGAGGTTTCCTCTATGTCATTAACTAATATTCTGATACTTTAATATTTTTATTAATTTAAGGTATTATCTGTTGATAAAAATTTAGCTTTATTTGTACTATCCCTCCTGCCCTTTCCTTCTTCCCAATCTTTGATAGTTAATTTTAAGCTCCTATGGGTTTTTAATTTTTGTACTTTTGAGTTGTATAATCCAACCTTTCTTTCCACGAGCTTTGCCAATATCTCTAATTTTCCACCCACCAGGTGAAGCCTCTACCCCAGCCTTCCCACCACCTGTTCCCTCCCCCTGCCGCCTTCCTTCCTGTGACACTTTCACTTTGACCTTTACCTTGTCAAAGCTGAGAACACTCATATCCTGTTCCACAAACACAGGTCTTGTGTGTTTTATCTATATGTCAGTTCTAAAAGTTGAAGTTCAACAACTTTGTTATTATGGTCATATCAATATTGGTGACAGCAGAACAAGGAGTGTGGTAGGTTGACACTTCCTTTTCTAAATATTCCTAGCATCAAGAGAAAAAAGCTATTAAGTTATACCCATGAATTTGCTACTTTTTGTAGGTCAAAACAGTCAAATATAGGCAACTTCCACACGGTCCAACCTAATCAGAGGACCAGGTGCTCTCTAAATTGGATGTACCTGTTTACATTCCCACCTGTTGCTTTTCAACTCCAACACCTGGTATTCCTAGACCTTTATCTATTTACCAATCTGATGGATATGACATGGTGTGGCCTCATTCTTTTCTGCATTGCTACATTTCAGGAAGCAACCTAGCAAGTTTTAAGTAATTTGAGAGGCAAAAAAGTTGTTGGCACAAGAGGTTCATATTACAAGAATTATTTTTCGTAGGCAACATATAGACATTCTCAGATATAGTCACTGCTCTAGAATTTTTCCATAAGCAGAGACTTAGGTACATAATCTGGTTGGAAGGGGGGAGGAAGGGAGAACACTTGTGGATGCATTTGTGTTGCAGGCACACCATTTGTTGTTGTTGTTTTGAGTTGGAGTCTCACTCTGTCACCCAGACTGGAGTTCAGTGGCTGCTCCCGGCCACTGCAGCCTCGACCTGCTGGGCTCCGGCGATCCTTCCGCCTCAGACTTCCAAGAAGCTGGAACTACAGGAGTGCGCTACCACGCCCAGCTAATTTTTGATTTATTGTAGAGATGAGGTCTTGCCAAGTTGCCGAAGCGGGTCTTGAACCCGCGGGCTCAGGCAATCCACTCACCTCAGCCTCCCAAAGCACTGGGATTACAGGCTGAGCCACCGAGTCTGGCCTCACACCATTTTTTTTAAAACTAAATTTCTATTTTGTAAAGTTTCCTAAACAGCCTTTTATTTAGTCTTTACAAAACATTGGATTGGGAAAGGCTGCGCATGGTAGCTCATGCCTGTAATCCCAAATACTTTGGGAGACCAAGGCTAGAGGATCACTTAAGCTCAGGAATTTGAGACCAGCCTAGGCCACATAGCAGGACCTTGTCTCTACAAAAAAAAAAAAAAGAAAAGAAAATTAGTTGGGAGTGGCACATGCCTGTAGTCCCAGCTACCTGGGAGGCTGACGAGGGAGAATTGCTTGAGCCCAGGAGTTGGGGGCTGCTGTGAGCTGTGATTGTGCTACTGCACTCCAGTCTGGACAACAGAGTAAGACCCCCAAATCAAGCAAATAAATAAATAATAAATAAATAAGCAAGCAAGCCAGGCATGGTGGCTTGCACCTGTAGTCCCCGCTACTCAGGAGACTGAGGTGGAAGGATTAACTGAGCCCAGGTGCTCTAGGCTGCAGTAAGCTGTAAATGTGTCACTGCACTCTAGCCTGGGTAATTGAGATCCTGACTTTTTAAAAAATTGTAAATATTCAACTATCCATATAAAAAAAATTTTGTATAGTAGTAACAACTGCAATACTTAAGGCAGCTGTATGAGAGTGTTCATGGTGTATGTGGTGGGAGAGAGTTACAAAAATTTTTCTGGGCACCCACCAGGACGTAGTCATTGCTCCCATATGTGGGTGCTGTTATGATTTATACATGTTTTATTCTAGCCACAAGCAATTAGAAAATTAAGTTTAAAATAGCAGTTAGCATTTATAACAACATTTTAAAAAAATGAAGTACCCAGAAATACATTTAACAAAAAAATGTCTCAGATCTCAAGACCAAAATCTATAAAACAGTATGTGGTAAAACGAAGACTAAAATAAATCAGGTATATTGTATTCATGAATCAAAAGACTCACAATTTGTTTTGTTGTTGTTGAATTGGAGTCTCAATCTGATGCCCAGGCTGGAGAGCAGTGGCACACTCATGGCCACCGCAGCCTCGACCTGCTGGCCTCAGGTGATCCTTCTACCTCAGCCTTCCAAGTAGCTGAAACTATAGGCATGAGCCATCACACTTGGTTAATTTTTTTTTTTTTTGAGTTGGAGTCTTACTCTGTCGCTCAGACTGGAGTGCAGTGGCCGCTCCGGGCCACCGCAGCCTCGATCTGCTGGGCTCCGGTGATCCTTCCACCTCAGCCTTCCAAGTAGCTGGAACTACAGGCACGTGCTACCACATCTGGCTAATTTTTTGATTTATTGTAGAGATGAGGTCTCGCCAAGTTGCCCAGGTGGGTCTCGAACCCACGGGCTCAGGCAATCCACTCACCTCAGCCTCCCAAGGCGTGGAACTACAGGCTGAGCCATTGAACCCGGCTGGTTAATATTTCTTGATTTATTGTAGAGACAAGGTCTCACCAAATTGCCCAGACTGGTCTCAAACCCTTAGGCTCAGGCAATCCTCTCACCTTGGCCTTCCAAAGTGCTGGGATTATAGGCATGAGCCACCAAAGCCTGGCCAGGATCAAAATAATCCCATCAAAATTCCAATCAGTTTTTATTTTGGTGAATTTAAGATGATTCTAAAAATTATGTGGAAATGCAAGGGGCCAAGATAATATTATTTTAAAAGGACAAAGATAGAGGTTTGATCTATAAGATAAAGACTTATTCTATGCTATAGACACAAAGACTGTGGTACTGATGTACAAATAAACCAATAAAGGAACAGAATAAAGAACCTAGAAGCAGACCTTGTCATGTAGCAATATTTGATATATGGCAAAGGAGGCATTGCAAAGCAGTGAACAAAAATAAGTACTAGAACAATTGGCTATTTATATAAAGGTACAAAGAAACATTATGTCATGCTATACATCCAAATCAATTCTGATGGATTGCATATCTAACATGAAAGAAAAACCAATGAAGCTTTTGGAAGATATAGAAGGATATCTTCCTTCCAATATTTCCCTTAAGGAAATTTTGATATATTTGACTATAGTAAAACTAAGCATTTCCATGAATCAAAAGGTACCATTAGGAACATAAAAAAAAAATCAGAGTGAGAGAACTTATATAGTCATAAAGGGATTCTATCCAGAATATATAAAGAACTCTTGCAAATCAGAAAAAAAGACAACCCAACAGAAAATGTGCAAGAATTTTCAATAGACATTTTCAAAATGAAGGTCAAATGGCTATATGGCCAACAAACACAAGACAAGGTTTTCAACTTCATCAGTCATCAGGGAAATGAGACTTTTTTTTTTTTTTTTGAGTTGGAGTCTCACTCGGTTGCCCAGACTGGAGTGCAGCGGTCGCTACCGGCCACCGCAGCCTTGACCTGCTGGGCTCCGGCGATCCTTCCACCTCAGCCTTCCGAGTAGCCAGAATTACAGGTGCGCGCTACCACGCCCGACTGATTTTTTATTTATTGTAGAGATGAGGTCTTGCTGCCCAGGCGGGTCTCGAACCCGCAGGCTCAGGCAATCCACTCACCTCAGCCTCCCAACAGGCTGAGCCACCGAGCCCGGCTGGAAATGAGACTTTTTGACACAATGAGATACTACTATACAGAAAGGCTAACAAGAAAAACCTGACCACACCAAGTGTTTGTGGAGGGAACTGGCCAGCAGGGGAACCCAATTCTCTCTGATGCTCCCAAAGGTGCCCAGACCCCCACAAGGCTCCAGAGTAGAGGCCTCTATCTGCCAATGTGAGGACAGAAGGACTGATTTGACCCCCAGACTGCTGTCTGCGTGGGGCTGGTGTCCTCCTGAGCTATTTGTGCAAATAAACCTGAGGCAGGATTTGTTAAAAAAAAAAAAAAAGAAAAGAAAAGAAAGAAAGAAAAACCCCAGTGGGCTGGTGCTCATGTGAACTCAACAGGAGTCTGACTGCAGGTCCCTTCCTAACTACAGGCGAGCTTACCTTGGTAGGAAAATAGCGGCTGAATTTGAACTTCTTCAGGGTCAGGGTCATGGAGTATGTCCCGAAGAAAAGGATGAAGGACATGAGTGCCAGGTCAGGGATGAACTGGCAGGAATTCCCGAGCAGGCGCCCGCCATAGCTCAGACACTCCTTCTTGCTCAGCAGGGACCAGTCCAGTGCTGTGAGGTTAAGGGAATTGTACTTGGAGACCAAGCACATGAGAGAAAGGGTCAGGGCCTTCCTGGAGAGTCAGTCATATCTTACCTTCTCCAGACTCAGGCAACCCACAGCCCTCTGAGGGTCCCCAGCCCTCCCATCCACAATGGTGTCCTCAGTAACAGAGTGATGCTCTGGGATACAGGCTGCTTCAAGGACTGACAAGCCTTGGCTTCCTAGGAAGATTATGGCTCACACATTTCTTCATTGTGTTCTAGGATGCACTGCTTTGCTAGCAAGAAGGAAAAGTGAGGGGAGATGCCCTCTCCCTCAGTAGGCCTGCCTCTTGTCAATCAACTGCAGGTCCTGCTGGTGACTCCTTCCTGGAGTGTCTCAAACTTATTCTCTCCCCTCCTTCCTCATGGTCACACCCTTTCACATACTTGGGCTCACATCCTTGTCAGTCCCCTAGTTCATTTCAGTCACTTCCCCCCTTGGTGTCCAGATGTCCAAAATCCAGGGCGTGCATACCATAAAATTTTATATATGAGTTATATATACGTGCATATATATAATAAGACTAGTAAGAGGAGGAAGAAAAGGAGAGTAATTTATAATAACATTTAATATATATAAAAAAACTAACATGCAAATGTTTAGGAATAGCTATATAATTAAGTAAACAGATGCAACTAACTATAATTAATATTTGGATTAAGAGAAGTGTGGTAATTTGTCCTATTTGGTACCATGTTCATTATTTGGGTGACAGGTTTAACAGAAGCCCAAACCTCATACAGTATACCCAACATGTACCCCTTGAATATAAAATTTTTTAAAAAGCCAGGTGTGATGGCTCACACCTGTAATCCTAGCACTTTGGGAGGTAGAGGTGAGAGATTGCCTGAGCCCAGGGGTTCAAGACCAGCCTGGGCAACCTAGTGTGACCTTGTCTCTACAATAAAATAAAAAACTTAGTTGTGTGTGGTGGCACATGTCTGTAGTCCCAGATACTTGGAAGGTTAAGGTGGAAGGATCACCTGGGTCTAACAGATTGAGGTTGTGATAGTCGTGAACATGTGACTTCATTCTAGTCTGGGGGACAGAGTGCATCTCTGACTCAAAAAAATAAAAATTAAAAATAAATAAAATGTAAGGGAAAAAAAAGAGAGAAGTGTGGTAGTTCATTATAATGGTTCCAAGGAATCATGCCTCCCTGTGTCCACATTCCTTTACAATGTGACACTGACAGTCCTTCCAACAAAGGTGAAGACTCTGTTCCCACCCCTTTGAGTCTGGGCTTAGACCAATAGAGTGGGGAGGAAGTGACTCTGATGTTTTGACTTCCGGGTATCTTGGAAACCTGAGATCCCTAAGCTGTGAAAAAGCTCAGAATCAAAAAGTGAAAAGACAGGCTAAGCCGCCCCAGTGTTTCATCTGAGCCCAGCACGCAGCAGACCTGCCAGCTGAATACAGCCACATGACTGAGTCCGCATGACACAGACAGAACAGTCAGCCAACCTGCAGAGTCATGAGATCTACACGTGCGACTGCCTTCATCCACTACGTGTGAGGATGGTTTGTTACACAGCAACAGATAACTGATACAACAAGTAAGGCGGTCAGGAACAGTTCATGGGGCAACTGTCCCAGCTAGGCTGTCTTGCATCCTGAGGCCCCATCTACTGAATTTCAGCTGCATCCCTCAATCACAAAACAATTCAAAATGCCCCTACAGGGTAGCATTCCTCTAGCGCCCCCACTGGTCTGGCCCCATGTCTCTTTCCTGGCATGTCTCTTGTGATTTCCTTGTTCAATCCCTGCACTCACTCCATCTTAGCCGTCCTGGTCCACCCACTGTTCTCTGCACAGCTTTGTGCTTTTACTCTTCTGCCCTTATGTTTGTATTTTTCCTTGTACCCGGAATGTGCATCTCTCTGCTGAACCAATTTTTTCCAAGACTTGAAGACCAGATCACATTCTACTTTCTCAGGTGGCTTTCCCTGGCCTCTCCAGCTTTCCTCCTTTCCTGCTTTCAAGGTTGAAGTGCAGATCTGGCCTGTATTTGATGCATGGTGCATTCTGCTTGTGCTGTCCCATAACTTTTCAGGTTTTGTCTCCACATGCATATGACGATGACGATGATGATGATTTCAGTCAGGGTTTCCTCCGTCAACTAGGTGGGAGGGCAGTGGCCCAATCATGGCTCACTGGGGCCTTGACCTCCTTGGCTGAGGTAATCCTTCCACCTCAGCCTCCTGAGCAGCTGGGACTAGAGGCACATGCCACCACACCCAGCTAATTTTTTTTTTTTTTTTTTTCTGTAAAGACAAGGTCTCACTATGTTGTCCAGGCTGGTCTTGAACTCCTGGGCTCAAGTGATTCTTCTGCCTCAGCCTCCCAAAGTGCAGTTTGAGGACGGGGCCATGTCAGTTTCTTAGATGTCTTTTTAGCCCTCAATGCACGTGTCATCTGACACGTAATAGGTATTCAGAGATAGCTATTCTGATGGATTCCATTCTTTCTTCCTTACAATCTGATATCTAAACAATGTTAGGTTAAATGGCCAACTGGAATGTGTGTAGGCAGAGCAGTCAACAGCCAAGGCAGGGATAACTTAAATAGCAACCTCAGCTGAATTTGAACTTCCCATCATTGAGCCACCTAGGTTGGAATGCTGTCTCCTGAAGACCACGGTCATCATTATTGGGAAAGGCAGACCGGACAGGGGGTCCCAGGGACCAAGGCATGCAAAGGACAGACTGGATTCACTGAGGGGGAGCACTAAAACACTTTCTGTGGCTGGGAAGTAGTATTGTTGAGAATTGGGAGTCCTAGGTAGAAAGGAAGGAAGGAGATGGAAAGATGACTGGGAAACTTGTTACAGCTTTGTGCAGCCCTGTTTACTATTCCTCACTCATTTCTGTGTGTGCACATCATATGTATACACAGGGATTCAATAGAATGAGTTGTGCTTTGACATGGGACATTTAGAGTATATACCTAAGATAAAAGCATGCATTTACATGGCTCTGCAGGTGACCCTGACATGCTGCTGGGGTGGACCTCTGTGAGTCTGGGTGGCCATGTGTTGGTCTCAGTTCCCAGCTCTTTTCTCACTCCCCCCACAAACAAAACCACATAAGAGGAAAGGACTTACCAGAGAAGCATTGGTATCTGGTGCCAGTGGGGCCGAAGCATTGAACCCGGTTGCGTTCACTGTAGATGAGCACACAACAAAGGCAGGGTCAGCAGCTGCTGGGCTGGGAACCTGCTTCCCCCCCACCAATCTCCCGCCAGATCCTTAGAGCCTAGGGGCGGGCTTCCATGGTGAGGGTAATTCCTCACACTCCGGCCCTCTTCACCTTCCCCACTTTGCCCCGTTAGGGAAGGGTTGGTGGGATAGAACCTGGGGCATAGATCTGACAGATCAGCTGCGCCAGGTGGGACAGCTCCTGCCTGATGATGAAATAAGGAATCTGGCACTAAGTGCTAAGACATGTTGGCAAATAATGTGCCCTGTGAATCCTTTATGGCCACTGAGCCTATTTCTCGGCTGTCAGACTTAAAGAACATTCTCGAAGAACTGACTCTATGCCACATTGTGCCAAATCTTATACATATGCATTTGTTAAGTTCTCAGATCTCCACGAAACATCCCCATTCTACAAATGAGGTAACTGAGGCCCAGAGAGATGAAGTAACTTGCCCAAGGTCACACAGCTCATACTTGGAGCCATGATCCCATCTGAGGCAGGCTGGCTCAGTGCCTAGAAACCTCCCAGCTCTACACAGTGAACTTCCCTGCCCCATTCCCTCCAGACTCTTCCCTTCCCCCCCACCCTTCATATGTGCTTTTTTTGAAGGTGAACTGGGCCTGTAAGTACTTGTTGACTTTGATATTATCTTCTCACATCCGCCCCTTGAGTGCAAACTGAGGAAAATCAAACCTGGCTCCAGGACTTGTAGTGGAATCAGGAACCCAAAAGTACTGGTCTTAGCTGTTCACTCTGCATCTGTTGCTGTGTACTCCCCTACCCTGGCCTCAGTGTTCCTAACTGTAAGTGGTGCATATGAGGGTACCTTCCAGCATCACAGTGAGAATTGAGAAGAACCATAGTTGCCCTCCTCTACCTTCCATGGGGACCCTTCATCTCGCCCTTTTCTCTGTCCCACCTCTCTCGCTCTTTGCTCACAGGGCCAGGCTCCCTCAGGGATGTGCCACTATCAAAAGCCAGGCTTTGGAGGCCCATTGCCCTCTCTCTTCCTCCTGAACTGCAAGGTTGGAGGCAAAGGCCAGGTCCTCCTCATACTCCTCCAGTGAAAGCAGACTGAGCAGTGTTTTAGGCCTGGGAGGGGCGGAGGCCTGCCGCCAGCTTGCTGGCAAGTCTGAAATAGAACAAACCCCATCGGGCTCCTGTTGGCTAACCATAGCCGATTAGAAACTCAGAAAGAAGAGGTTCATCTTGGGGCTTATCCTGACCTCCAACAAGATGTTTACAGGGCTGGTATGAGAACAGGGCCCTTACATCCAGGCCAGCTGGGGCCGAGAGGGCTAAGGAATCAGTCTTGACCCAGGGTAGGATCCAGAAGGTCTACAAAACCAGAAGTTTGTCTGTTAGGACTGTTCTAAAGAAGGCTTCTCTTTTTAGAAGTTTGGGACATGTGTTGCCTTTCCTTACATCACCAGCCAAAAGAACATGATGCCCAATTAATGACGGAGATGGGGAAGCTGGGCAGGAAGGTTGACTCAGGGCCCCATCAAATGCTGGAGAACTCCCGGTTGACCTGAGCCTGGAGGAGTTCAGATGCCTTTTCACTACCCAATGTTTTCAGATCTTACATTCCTCTGATGTCTTCTGCTTGGGCTCATCAATTCTGCTATATCAAGAACTTTGTAGGGTTTATCTGAAAGCCACTTGAGATGAAGATGGAAGAAATAGAACATGGAGAATTCCAGAAAGAGTCCAAGTATCAAATATTTTAAAATTCTAGTGTTTAAAAAGTGGTACTCACTTGGGATTGAAAGCAGCCAAATCAGTGTGTGCAGCATTCATAAATAGAATACAAATCAGTTACAATGGAAACAAAATTAAATATAAAAAAGGGTGCTCCCACACAAGCTTTCATGAGGAAGAGTGACAAAGAGCGACAGCATGCCACAGCAAGACTGGGCTTTGCAGTACAGCTAGGAATACGGGACAGTTAGTAAGCAGGTGGCCTATGGACTGGGAAAAAAACCCTCCACACTTAGTTCCCCCCTTCAGGTCTCCTCAATGTCTAGAACTTGCCTTTCCATATTATCCTAATCAAGACGAGCTCATCCTGGTTTCACTTCCTTTTACTCTCTGCGAAGAAACTGAAAATCTAATCTTACTGGGGTTAGTGGCTAATAAATGGCTCAGTATCACTGATTAATAGTTCAATAGAGCAGAGACTCTCAGACCTGAGAGTGCATCAGAATCACTTGCAAGACTTAATATACATATAGCTGAACCTTACCCCAGAGTTTCTTTCCTTTCCTTCTTTTTTCTTTTTAAAAAATAGAGACGGGGTCTTGCTATGTTGCCCAAGCTGGTCTGGAACTCCTGGGCTCAAGCGATCCTCCCACCTCAGCCTCCTGAGTAGCTGGAATTGCAGGCATGAGCCAACATACCTTATAGTTTCTGATTCAGCAGGTCTGAGGTGGGGGCTCAAGAATTTGCATTTTGAACAAGCTCCCAGATGTTGCTGGTCCAGGGACCACACTTTGAGAACTGTAACAGTAGCATGACCCCAAAGAATGAGGTGATGTCAGGCACCTGGGCAAGGCCAGAGGGGAAGACCTTTGGGCACAGGCGGCTTCTTTATGCCTCTTAGACTCTGTCTTACATGCGCTTACATTCTCTGTTCCTAGGGCTTCCCTGGGTTTGTTCTTCTCTGTAGATTGATGATTCTCTGAATAGCCAACACTCCCCATTTATATGATAACCCCAGAATTTAGACTGTTTCTAAAAGTGATCAAGGACATGTACTTCTAGAAGCCATGTTTGTGGAAAAGTTGTGTTTTACACAATGAATTCACAGTCTGGAAGGCATAAGCAGCAGATAGGAATGCCCTGATGGAGCTTGACCCACAGAGGCAGGAAGAAAAGGGCTGCATGCAGGTGGGATCTTCTCAGTGTTGGGACCAGCAACATGCCCTGGCTCAGGACAGAGGGTTGCTCCACCTCTCATTGGATTTTAATGGAATGACTCAAAATTAATGACAGAAAAAAGAAAGAAAAAAATTAAGTCTTGACTTTCTTATGAAATCATTCCATTAACAGAGGGAGAGACAGGGTATTCTCACAACTCAACTCCTTGAAGGCAGGTATCTTTATCTTCACAAGGCCTGTCTAAAATAGGGCATACAAGAATTGAACAGCAAATATTTTAGATTGATTTGAGATCAATTTTTTAATCCATGGTAATGTATAAAGGGGCTTAACAACTCAATATCTATGTATTTCTTCCAACCCAATCTGGGACTCACAAGAGTCCCATGAGATTGGCAGGCCCAGTATCAGTATTCTGCTTTTACAGCTAAGGAAACTGAGGTTTGATGTGATTTTGGGTGGTCTCTCTGGACCTCAGTTTGCTCTCTGTGAGTCCAGTCTGGTGGTGGATGTGTGGATGGATCTCCTGTTCCTGCTCCGTGGCATCCTGGGCACCCTAGGTATGTCCCACAGAAGGCTTTTAGGGGCATGAAGGAGGCCAGAAGTTCAGGCTCTATGGGATGTCTTAACTTTACAGTTTTTCTTTGTTTGTTTTTTTTTAAGTTGGAGTCTCACTCTGTTGCCCAGGCTGGAATGCAGTGCCATGCTCACAGCCACTGCAGCCTTGACCTGTTGGGTTTAGGTGAGTCTTTTTTTTTTTTTTTTGAGTTGGAGTCTCACTCTGTCACCCAGACTGGAGTGCAGTGGCTGCTTCCAGCCACTGCAGCCTTGACCTGCTGGGCTCCAGCGATCCTTCCGCCTCAGCCTTTCAAGTAGCCGGAATTACAGGCATGCGCTACCACGCCCAACTGATTTTTTGATTTATTGTAGAGATGAGGTCTCGCTGCCCAGGCGGGTCTCAAACCCGCAGGCTCAGGCAATCCACTCATCTCAGCCTCCCAAAGGCACAGGATTACAGACTGAGCCACCGAGCCTGGCTGGTTTAGGTGAGTCTTTCACCTCAGCCTTCAAGTAGCTGGAACTACAGGTGCGTGCCACCACACCTGGCTAATTTTTTGATTTATTGTAGAGATGAGGTTTTGCCAAGTTGCCCAAGCTGGTCTTGAACCTGTGGGCTCAGGCAATCCTCTCACCTTGGCCTCCCAAAGTGCTGGGATGATAGGCATGAGCCACCATGCCTGGCCAGTTTTTTTTATTTTTCTTTTTTTTTTTTAATCAGAAAGTAACTTCCCAGGAACAGCACTGAGGATTATCAGGTTGACCAGTTGGCTGATCCAGCCTCCCACCTGTGCAGGGATCCTTTACAAAATCCTTGGCAGATGGACGTCCAGAGGGTGTCCAAGTAACTTGCTGCCAACCAAGGAGGCTGAGACCCCTCATGGTGGTGACTCCCACCATTGTAAGTTCTCCCCTAAATTCAGCCAGCATCTGGCTCCCTGGAGCTTCTGCTCCTCCATTCATCATTCCGGTCTACATCCTGTGGTTACAGAGAGTAAATGCAGCCCCTCTCTGTCATGGCAGTCTTTAAGCGGCCGAAGAACCCCACATTCCCCAATTCAAATGGCATAGTTGTAGGTCTTCCACCCTGGATCTGTTTCCATTTATGAGGATGTTCAACCCTCTGCCATGATCTCACCTTACAAGATATGTGACCACATAGGCAGCAGTGTTGTGGGGAGATCTCATTGTACCATGCACTGATGGAGCTGGGAGGGATGTTAGGCACCATCAGGCCTACCTCTGACCAGCAAGAACCCCTGGGCACTCTTGATAGGTGTGGCCTCCACATCACCTCATACAGAGGCAAAGCATGCCTTACTCCTTCCTGGGGTATCCCTGCACCTTTCTGATGACAACTGTGACTCTTCTTAGAGTTACTGTCCCCTTGGTTTCCTTCTAAAAACTGAGTTCAAGACCCTGCATTTGCTCCCTTGAAGCAGTAAGTCCATGCTGAACAGCCCCCTCCCAAGCAGGCGCACCCTACTGCATTTGAGTAGAGAGTTGTGGTTGTAGTGGGGGTGGTGGTGGGGAACGTGGGGAGGTAGGCGAGGGCCCCTGGCATATCTGAGGTTACCGGTCACCTGTGTCAGGGGCGACGCACTCGCACTTGTAGGTGGTGATGGAGTCAGCCTTGAAGTTCACGTTGATGGGGTAGTACTTGAAGGCACCAATCATCTTCTTGATGGCGTCGTAGATGAAGATGAAGCTGATGAGGGTGGAGAAGCCCTCCTCGGTGAAGCGAGTGATATATTTGATGATAAAGCTGGCATCTGTGGCCACCAGGATAAGGCACTGGATGGCTGAGTGTAGGCCAATCCAGAGGCGGAATTCCATGTAGTCCAGGCCATTGCCTCTGGAAGGCAGAGGGAAGGCAAGGGGCCTCCAGCCCAGGGCTCCTGGGCATGCTTGGCTCCCCAGACTTACCCTGAGTGGCTAATCTGTCCCTTCTGTGGCACAGATGACGCCTTCCTAGGGACTATATGAGTATTGGGGATAGGGATGATTTCTGGGTAGAGCTATCTGATCTTTGAGATCTCATGGGGGCCCAATGTTTGTCTTTATGGGTAAAATAATAAAATAAAATAGGTCTCATGGGGGTGGCAGGAAGGTGCTAAGACATCTCAGGGCTCTTACTGTTGGTAACAGATACCCAGAATGAGTGGAAGACAGGGAATTTCAGGATAACAGGGCTGGAGCAGGCCTTAGAAATGGTCTAGTTCAAACTTTTACATTTTGGTTGAAGCAACTGAGCCTAGAGTGGTGATGGGAGCTACCTGGGTCTGGGTGCAGCCTTCTGACCTCCAGTCCAAGACTTTCCACACGCTACACTGACTTTTAAGTCATAACTGCTTATGAGCAGAGTAGTGTGTGAATTTTCTCCTCCTATCTTGGGTGGTCCCTATGGGTTGTACTAATAAGCACTAAGATGGCTTAAAGGCAGGTAGCTGGCAGGAATCAAGCAGCCTTTCCCATAAAGATGGCTTTGGCTCCTCTGGTCTCCCTGTTGGGACTCTTTTCTGGCCCTGGCCTCGGCATACTGCCCTAAGTGCAAGAGCAGGAACTGGGGGCCACCAAGGGGCACCTACTTGCTGAAGTCGAAGAGGAGTTTCTCGAAGATGAGGATGGGCCCCGTGCTACTGAGGATGATGAGAGGCTGTCCCGAGAAGAGACAGAACAAGGAGCCAGCCATGGCAGTGCCCAGGAAGCTCTCCATCACTCCCTGGGGACACAAGGAGTGTGAGGCTCACAGGAGGCAGGAGAAGGGGCTTTGCCGCAGTGACTGCAGTCAAGCTATCCTCTAAGGGCCCAGGTCATTGTTCATCCTCTGTTCTGGGCCTTTTCCTCCCCCATAGTCTATTCCCCGTCTCCTACTTCACAACTTGCCACCATGGCCAGTGTCCCTCTGGCTAATTCCATTGGGACAAAGGTCCTGTGTGACTCTTTCAGCACTCGAGGGCCTAAAAAACAGTGTATGTGCTTGTCCCTGTGTCCATTCTACTCCCAGAGGACAGCCCATTCATCTTTCTAATCATTCATTCAAACATCTATTTGGTGCTTTTAGAAGTCAGATCATTCATTCATTCATTGAAAATCCATTAAATGCCAACTAGGTGCAGATACTGGAGACCCATCAGTGGATTAGATTACATATTTTAAGTCTTGTGGGAGATACAGAGAAGTAACCAGGCTCTTTCTATATAGTTGGGTTTCTCGACCTTGGCACTATTGACATTTCTGCATAGAGAATACTTTGTTGTGGGAGTCTATCCTGTGTACTGTAGGATTTTTGGTAGCATCCTGGCCTCTACCCATTAGATTCCTATAACAACCATCCTCCCATTTACAACAACGAACATTTTCTCTAGATATTACTAAATGTCTCCTGGAGTCAAAACTGTTCCGGTTGAGAGCCACTGCCAAGGAGTGTGATAACCTGAGATAGGTTTAGGGTACCACAGGAGCACAGAGTAGGAGTGAAGGGTGGTCAGGATGGCCTCCCTAGAAGCAGATTCATGGAAGCTGAGCCCCAAGGAATGAGCAGGGGGTTAGCCAGGAAAAAAGGGCTAAGTGGAGTGACAAGAAAGAGTGCCCTAGGAGGAGGGAAGAGAGTAGACCGAGGCTGGAGCTGAAACACAGCCCGTCCTTGAAGAACTGAGAGATGATTAGGATTGATGGAAAGCAGAATATAGAATGGGTGAGTAGGGCAGGAATGCTGAGAAAGAGAATGCTGTGAGATGAAGCTTGACAGGCAAGGAGGGTCACATCATGAGGGCCACATGGGGAAGCTGGGATTTGTGAGTCATGGATAATGCCTAATTTCTGGCGTGGACAGTTGGGTGGACCAGGGTGTCACTTGTGCTGGGGAAGGCCCAGAAGCAGCAGGTCAGGAGGGAAGATAATGCATGCAATGCCAGCAGTGTGAGTTGGGGGACCCCAAGGGGCAGTTATGTAGACATGACTGGGGCCACCAGACATTGAACTTGAAGCTCGAGAGAGAGATGGGGGAATTCATCTCAACTTATCTGTGAAAATAGTGCACTGAGCTTTCCAATAGTTCTGCTCTGAAGGCCCCCATCGAGAAGACCCTTGCCCAGGGGAAGGCCTGGTGACTCTGCAGAACTGTTTTCCCCAAGGAGGCCTGTATTTGTTGTTATGGTAACAGTTTACCATCCTTCTAAAAATATCTTAACTCCAATCTAAGAATTCAAAGTTGGTTAAAAAAAAATAGTGTGGGAGGGAAGGAGGCCACACTTAGCAACTCAATCATTTATGCTAATTAAGTTCATTCAAGTATTAATGGGAAAAGTACCAAATAACACAGTAGATGATTCCCCTTAAAAGTCTGACCTAGTTATAGCATCCTACATTTGGTTTTAAGTAACATGAATTAGCTTTAGGTCTTTTAATACTGCCAGATTATTACTTTTTTTATTTTTCGAAGGGTAAAGGATGACAAAAAGTCACAGCTTCAGCCTGGATGGTGGATGAAACCTTGATTTTAGGATTACAGGATGAAGCTCCTTGCCGCCACCAGATGGCACACATCCCCGGCTCACACAAACCTGGTAATTGTCGGTGGCATCCCCTAGAAGCCCACCAAAGGTGATCGCGTTGGTGATACAGCCGAGGTAGATGAATAGGATGGCAGAGATGGACTGAATGTGGAAACCGTCATAGAAGTCACTTGGGAACCACGGCAACTTCCTCTTGATATCCAGACACAGGCCACCGAAGAACCTGCTCAAGACAGGCCCCGGGGGCTGCTTTCTCTCCACTAACACCAGTGCAGGGGCAGGGATGTTTACAGGGACCTGCAGAGTCTGGGGCAAGGAAGGGAACTTGACCAAGGGTGGATAGGGACAAAGGTCTTTCCACCAGAACATCTAGGACAGGGATACATTTTTTTTTTTGAGTTGGGGTCTCATTCTGTCACCTGGAATGCAGTGGCAGCATCACGGCTCATGGCAGCCTTAACCTCCCAGGCTCAGCTGATCCTTCTGCCTCAGTCTGCTGAGTAGTTGGGACTACAGGTGTGTGCCACCATACCCGGTTATTTAAAAAAAAATTTTTTTTTGTGGAGATGAGGCCTTGCTATTTTGCCCAGGCTGGTCTTGAACTCCTGGGGTCAAGCAATCCTCTTGCCTCAACCTCCCAAGGTTCTGGGATTACAAGCATGAGCAACCGACCAGGATGAATTCTTATAGTTTGTGGTCAGCACCATTCATACTGGGAAGGACAGACATAGACAGCCCGTTTGGGAGAAGGAGGGGGTGATGGGACTATGTTCCAGGGTAGATCTAACATTCCATGGAGAATGGGAGTCCTGGGGTTCACAGATGGTGATCTTCCTCACATCCCTGATCATCCGTAGGACTTCTGCTCTTGGTAAACACAGGGTGTTCAACTTTAGGAGTTAGAGACATTCCAGATTATAAGACAGACTCATTAAGAATAGACTCTAAACCTCACAGCTGTTCTCTCTCTCTTTCTCTCTCTCTCTCTGAAACAACTGAGTAAATAATTTTAGGTTTGGGGATACAGTGTTTGTTGGGGATACTGTTTATCACAGCCCTAATGCAGTCCTTAGTGTGAAGCAAAGCTTCTCAATCTTGGTCCATTACTGTTTTAGACAGCATGATCCTTTGTTGTGTAGTGGCTATCCAGTGCATCGTAGAATATTTAGCAGCATTCTGGGCCTCTACCCACTAGATGCCAGTAGCATGTTCCCTCCAGTTGTGACAAATAAAAACATCTCTGGACATTGCCAAATTGGGCTGCGGAGCAGGGCAGAGGCAAGGTTGCTTCCAATTGAGAATCACTGGCATAAAGCCAAGAGCATATCAAACATAATGTTATTCTCAAAATTGTGATTTATACGTAGTTTGCAGGGCCATGCTCTTTGCTAAATCTAGAGCAACCTGAGTGATGCCAAGAGCTGATAGAGAAACTCAGGACAGGAGGATTTTCTCAAAAAAATAAAAAATAAAAAGAATTGTTATGAGTTGAATTGTAACTGGGGTACCTGTGAATGTGACCTATGTCTTTGCAGAGTAATCAAGTTAAGATGAAGTCATTTGGGGGCTCTAATCCAATATGACTGATGTCCTTATGCAAGGAGGAAAATGCTATGTGAAGACAGGTGCACAGGGAGAAGATGACAGAGGTGAAGATGGGAGTGATGCAGCTGCAAGCCGAGAACCTCAAGGCTGTGGCCACCTCCAGAAGCTGGGAGGCACCAAGGAAGGATTCCACCCAGAGTCCCAGAGGGTGCTCGACCCTGCTGACACTGATGTGGAACTCCTGTCCTCTGAAACTGTGGGAGAACCACTTCCCGTTGTCTTTAGCCACCTGGTCTGTGATACTCTGCTGCAACAGCCCAAGAGAAAAGCCAGGGTCTTGAGTTCCACTCTCCTTAGGCCTCCCTTTTTTGGGACCCAGGAAGGGCTTTGAGGGCTTCTGGAAGGGCCAGAACTTGGTGGTCAGACCCTATGGCCCTGAGTAGGCGCTACAGGCAGTGGGGGAAGGTCCCTAAGGGTGGCTGAGAAGGAGAGAAGTCTACAGGACAGGAGGGTCACTGTCAGGCCTGGGGCGAGTACCTTCCTGTCCAGATAAGCTCCTCCCCGATTTCGTGCATAGCTGGCATCTCTCCATCATCCCCGCCGCTTGCTCCACCAGCCCCATTGCCACCAGCCCCACCACCTCCGCCGCCACAGCCGCCGCCACCGCCTCCTCCGGGGGCTCCGCAACCTCCTCCCACAGAGCCGTTCATCTGGCCCAGCTCAGCCAGGGAGAACACGGATTTCCTGGAAAAGAAGTGGGACGAGAGAATAGGACCTCCAACCCTGGAAAGGGCCCAGCCCATGAAGGACTGTCCCCAGTGCATCCTCACTTCTCCAGCAAAATTATTAAACGTCTTAAAAGACAGAGGAAAATGCAAAAAGTGATCTAAAAATACTCATACATAGGCTGCCCAGGTTTCACGAATATTCGCTTTAGCCATATTTACTTCTGATTTATCATAAAGATGAATAAAACGATACGTACAGAGTGGAAGCCTCTTCTACTCCCCAGCCCCACCCCTCCACTCACATACTCACCTCTTGTCAGCAGAGGGCACTTTTTTGGGGGGCTCAATTCGGATATTTGGATCCCACTCTCCAGGGGGAAGGACAATGACCTCATCCAGAAACTCATCAATTCCTGCGATCAGATCTTCCCGGTTGCGGGCCTTATAGGCCACGTCGCTGAAGAGCTGGGAGGAAAGAGGAGGCAGGAGAGACTCAGCTATCTCAGACGTTCCCAGGAGCAAATCACATCTAGTCAAAGAAGTCACTTTGAGCCAATGCTTCTGCTGCTGACTCACTATCAGTTTTTGGGAGAGAGTTTAGCACAGCTGGTAAAACATGGCACAGGGAAAACAGCAGGCATCAGGGAAGACAGCCCATCTTGGGTCTGAAGGCCAGGTCTCCATATTCTTGCTGTGGGTCTTTGGTTGAGTTACTTAACCTTTCTGGTTTTAGTTTTCCACACGGCAAGCACATAAGAAAATCTTTGTAGGGCCCAGTCCCAGGAGCGAAGATAGTTCACATCCATTTTTCACTCTTTTCCTGGCCCTTCACTCTTAGAGGGTCAGGTTACATCACTCACGGTCTTCACAGCACTCTTTCCTATTACATATGATAACGTGCCTCACTGTGTTGTCCTGGACTTGAACTACTGGCCCCAGGTGATCCTCCTGCCTTGGCCAGGTGCGAGCCACTGTGCCCAGCCCAGAGCATGCTTTCTGACTTATAGATCTGCCTGTGTTTAACATCCTCTGGGCTCCCCATCACTCTGGGGACAGAGTGTGTCACAGGCCCTGTGTAGTCTCTGGCTAACATCCTCCTGTTCTCAAAGCTCTTACATTGAACCTACATCGAACCACTTTCATCTGGCTTTCTTTGGCCTGACTCCTGTTTCCTTGGTCAGGAATTTCTGCCTTCTAGGCTCATGCTGGGTCTTTCCACCCCCTGCTCATCCCTTAACTTTAAAGCTCTCTTCATCCATGAAGCCCTTCTTGACTCCCTGGGCAGCTAGCTCATGGCTAATTTTGTGATTTATAGATCTATCCCTCCTACTTGATTGTTGCTATTCCCTGATTCTCATAATCTTCAACATTCTATGCATGGCCTGGTACACAGCAGGTGCTCAAATGTGCCTGCTGGGTAAGTGAATGAAAGAAGGCATAGCACTTGCTGTGGGAGACATAACCTTTGGGAGTACAAGCGTCTGGTTCCCACTTACATCATCTACCATGAGGGTTGCAATGGCGCGGCCAATTTCATTGTAGGATTTTGCTCTCCCAGAAGGTCCCAACAATATAAACAGAAATCTGAAAAGAAGATGAAGAAGGACAGTGAAAAGGAAAAACAGGAGCAGGTGAAGAGAAATCTTTCGCCCTAAACAGTACCCACTTACTCTTTTAAGTTCCCTCCTTTGAACACTATATTTTCTTTGAAGAAACATTTCTTCTTCTCCCATGAGACCCTCCTTGTCTTTGTCTTGCTGCCCAAACCCTCCTGATGTCTTCTCTCCCACTGCTGCGTCCTTCTCTTGTGTGATTATTTGTAATTAGCTCTCTCACACTCTTCCCTAGTCAGGAGATCTCCCTTTCCTGAAAACCTCTCTGTTTAGCAGTGCCTCTAACAGGGCTGCTTGCTGACTGCACAGACAGCTGGCTCCCTGAGGGTGGCATGGGGGCAGCTCTCACCTCGTGGGGACAGGCACCTCGGTCACTCCTCCCAGCATGGCAGACTGGATGAGACGCACAAATGCTATGAATGGCTGATCCAAAAAGTCCACCTCGCCCACGAGCACATTAGAGGCTTCTGAGTCCTTGGGGATCTTCTTCATGAATTTGTTTTTCCGCTGATCAGGGAGGGGAAAGCGAGATACCCAAATATCCTCCCACCTGCTCTCACCCCCTCTTCAGACTGTTTTGGGGGACTTACCTAAAAAATTTCTCCAAGCATTGCTCAAGAGACTGAAAGAATAACCACTCTCCCTGATTCTACAGATGAGGGGATTCAGCATAGATTAACCCCAGGGACCATTAAGATGGGGAAAAAACTGGCAATGACTTGACCTAAGACATTCCTTGATGGATGAAAACTGCTCAACTGAGGCATGAGCTGAGGGGCCAGAGAAGAGTCCAGAACTTGCCTCCCTTGGCCTGAGCAGATGGGAGTCTTAGCACTTATACTTCAGCCACCCAGACCCTCCCCTTTCCAACCTTGACTTCGGTAGCCGTGGGAAGGAGGATCAGAGTAGATGAATTTTGTTTTCCCTTTGCCACCAGCTTCCTGGCTCACGGGAACCCCTAGGCCAGTCTCCAAGTTTTCGGGGAACTTGTCACCCCCAAGTCACCCCCAGGGGACCTCCCCAGAAATTCATAACTTCTGACTGAGTCATTCCAACTGAAGCTATCAAGGTGGTCTCTCTCCAGTCCCTCTAACTGGTGTCTGTTCCAGGCAGGAAGGTCATATAGGCAAAGTCATGGGGCCTGATGTGAGTGGTATTGGAGACAAGCCCTCTGCCCAAATTTATTCCCACTCTCTGTGTTAATGACCACTTCTCCCGAGTCCTTTTGATGATGAAAATACCCCTTAGAAAGTACATTCAAGGTTTTCTTAGTCCTTATCATCTTAGAATGAATTACTTTTTCAGATTGCTTTCTCTCTGGGCAGTGAGGGGATGGACAAGTGACAGAGATCATTTTGTAGGGAGAAGGAGAGGGAACATTTAGGGAGGACAGGGCCAGGTGTAGTCCACAATGGCCGACATGGGGGAAGGCCCTGGCCAGTTCTGAAGAGAGGTCCTAGGGACATCACAATTTTCCCACTAAACCTCTTCCTGTGGGCACAGGAATGTTTGTTTCTTGCAGGCTTAGTGAAGACACGGGTTCCTTATGTCTCTTTCTGTCCCTATGGAGGGGTCAATTGTGGACATGGGCATGGCCAGCAGCTCCTGTCCTTTTGTCCTACAGCTGTTTCCTGATTCGACTCATGGGGGTGGGGGGGCGTGATGCACACTGAACTGGGTGGCCTACCCGCATGAGGAGAGGCACATAAGCAAGGGCTACACACCCTTATAACCTTTTAAATCCGATCGGGGGAAAAAAAAGTCACACTCCATGACCACTCGGGTAACCATCAACAGCCCCAAGGATCGTAATAACAGTGAGGAAAAACAAGGGCAGGAGTTGATGGGAAGGCTGGAGTCCCTGAGACTCAGAAAACCCCTTTGTCCCAGGCATAGTTAGCTGACCAATAAGCAGTGTTCTTCAGGGGGGAGGGTTGGATGTTCCAGGCCACCATCTCCATGCCAGCTCTGTATCCCCAAGCATCAGCAGGGAGGGGACCCAAGGGAGGGGAGGAGAGGTGGAGTGGGCAGGAGTGCCCTGAGGCCTCTGAAAGCAACAAAGCTTTGGGGTGGTCCAATCAATCCGCTTGCATTCCTGGAGAGAAGAGGAACTGAAAGAGGGCCTTGGTCTTTCTTTGTAGGTAGTGATATGTTTGATCAGGAGGCCAGGGTGGTGGCAACCCAGATATGGGGCCATGCTGGTGTTCTAGCTCCTAGATGGCGCATGCTGGTGTTCTGGACATGGGTTTGTACAACCAGGGCCCGGCTGACCCCATGTTCTGGACCCTCAGGGACAAGTCCAGCTCTGCACTACGGAGTCACAGAGTGTGGCGATGCTGTCTGAATCCACTGTATTCACTGGGAACCTGTCAGCTGAGGGTGAGCATGGAGTTTAGCTTTGCACAAACCAAGGATGAAGAAGCCTGCAGAGGAGATGCCTCTGGGCTTGCCCCTGAAGAGCGTCTGCTGGGGTACAAACTACCAGTGCTACAAACACAGAGAAATGGCAGCAAGTGCCAGTCAGGAGAGAGCTAGATGCTGGTGCCAGGTGCTGGGCTCCAACCCTCAAATTAAGGAAGCAGGCCCAGTGGAAGTGACAGCTAGCATTATTATTTCCACTTACACATTTATTAAAACATGTTATGAAAGATGTTTACTAGGTGAAGTTTTTTTTTTTTTTATCATGGCTTTACTGTCTGTGTGCATGGCTAAAAGTGGTGTTCCCCTCCAGACAATATTCCGAATACTGACTGCTTTTTCTTTTTTGTTTTTCCTGACTGCTTTCTAAGTTACTGCCAAACTAAAGGCTCTGGAGCCAGTCTCCCTGGGTCAAATCAGTGTTCTGTCACCTTTCAGCAGTATAGACTTGGGCATGTTATTTAACTTCATCTAGCCTCCAGCTCCCTCATTGGTAAGATAAGGATGACAAGCATATCTTCAGGATGCACAGAAGATGCTTGGCACGGTATAGTCCATGCAGTGTGTGGACCTTAACTGTTGGCTCATTTTGCTGTTTTGCACCTCAGAACACGAATATGAGGGACTATCTTTGTTTTGCCTTCTATCAAACATGGGGTACCTAGAAGGCCTAGAGGTCACCTCAGCTCCCGAGGGCTCCTCACCAAGTTTCAGGTTTCCTTTGTCACTCTCTCTTCCTATTCCTGGTTCAGGTTTCCTTTGTCACCTTTCTTCCTGGGAGTACAGGCAGGGGGACCATGGAACATCCTGCCCTTGAGGTGTGCAGGGGTTGGAATTGGGGGGGCTTCCCCAGGGGGCATCATCACAGGGTTCCTGGGCTGTGGACCTTAGAACTTGGACTCTGTAGGATTCTGATCTCATCAAGGGGGTTTCTGCCAAGCTAGTGGGAGACCAGAGGAAGAAGACACACAGTTCAGCAGTCCAATTAATTAACTATCATTGTTCTCCCCATAGGGAAGCTCCTCTTCCTTCTCTCCACCAGACCCAACCACAATCCCACCTTTGAAGGTGTTTGTGGGTCCCAGGGGAGATGAAGCTATGTGCGTTGGTCTTCTCTCCAACAAATCTCAAGCTCAAAAACAGCTGGCACCATCTGGGCCAGCACCTGGGACTTGGTCAGTACCCAACTGATGGGCTGGGCAGAGTCACCCAGGCAGCCCAGAGCCCTTCCTGGGATGCATCCTGGGGATTTCTGCTCCTTCATAGGAGTGATGTTCTGCCCACAGGGACTCCCTTCCCTAAAACCAAAAGCTTCTTCCTGGCCATCCACTGCAGCCCAGTGCAGAGGCTCTACTACCTGGTCTGTGTTTGGGGTGAGAGAAATGTCATTCATGCTTCTGCTCTGGGCATGACCTAGGAGAGAAGAAAAAGGTCTGTTGGGGGAAGTCAGGCTCTCGCAGGTCATTTTCCTTTGGCTCCTACTCATGCCTCCCCATGTTTATAAGCAAAGCAAGATGCCCATCCCCTTATTTCTGCAGCTTTCTTACACTAGCATGCTTCGACTTTCCTTTCCTTTGATGGCAGTTTTCTTGAAAGAGCTGCCAGACTCCAGGTTTCCCTGCTTCCTTCTTACTTCTCAGGTTACTGCACTTTTGTCTCTACCCCTTGCCCCTGCCTTCCTGGATTTTGTCAGTGTGTTGACTCCAGGTGTTGCTGAACTTGCAATGTAGAGAGAGAACAGTTTCATCTCTGTCCTCCATGACCCAGGAAAGTCTTCTTTTTTTTTTTTTTTGGAGTCAGAGTCTCACTCTGTCACCCAGGCTGGAGTGCAGTGACATGCTCACGGCCACCTCAGCCTTGACATGCTGGGCTCGGGTGATCTTTCTGCCTCAGCCTTCCAAGTAGCTGGAACTACAGGCACGCACCACCACACCCAGCTAATTTTTTGATTTATTGTAGAGATGAGGTTTTGACAAGTTGCCCAGGCAGGTCTTGAACCTGTGGGCTTGGGCAATCCTCTCACCTCAGCCTCCCAAAGTGCTGGGATTATAGGCACGAGCCATCGTGCCTGGCCTGGTGAGACTTAAAGATGGGCTGGGAGCCAGGTACAGTGGCTTACGCCTGTAATCCCAGCACTTTGGAGGCAGAGGCAGGAGGATCACTTGAGCCCAGGAGTTTGAGACCAGCCTAGAAAACATAGTGAGATGTCATCTCTACAAAAAATACAAAAAAAAAAAAGAAAATTAGCTGGACATTAGCACATGCCTGTAGTCCCAGTTACTTGGAAGGCTGAGGCTGAAGGATTGCTTGAGCCCAGGAGATCAAGGCTGTAGTGAGCTGTGATGGTGCCATTGCACTCCAGCCTGGGTGACAGAGAGAGACCTATCTCAAAAGAAAACCAAAAAAAGATGGGCTGGGGATTTAAACTGGCAGAGGGAAGCAAGGTGGGCTCCCCATGAGAATAGTGATAGTGAATGATGTGAACTTCCCAAGAGTTCCTTCCTCTGTCATGGTGAGAGAAAGCCAGCTCTCATTTCCCACAAGCAACCCAACCTAGTGGACACTCTCAGACCTATCATTTCTCAACTATTGCCCTGTGCCCACTCCTTGCTTCCAGAACTCTGTTCTCCTCAGTTCTCCTCTTGTTTCCATCTCAGGATCCTCATCTGCTTGACCCTTCCCGAGGTCTTGTCTTTGCTCTCATTACCGCCAGATGCCTCACCCTCTCCTTCCTTGGTCATCACATCCTTGGTCAAACACCCAGGTAGGTCTTTAGGTTGATCTCTCTTGTGAGCTACAGACCCCTGGAACATCTGGTACCTCAAACTCATCTCATTATCTTCCACCAAATCATTCCTCTCCCAAACCTATTCTACTCAGTATCCCACCCTCCCATCCACCAGCCATTCAGAGAGAAATCTAAGAGCTGGCTTGGCCCCTGCCTGTTCCTCACCTCTGGATCCAGCAGTCATTAAATACGACCTCTGGCCAGGCACGGTGGCTCACGCCTATAATCCCAGCACCATGGCCAGGGACCATGTTGAACCCCCAAGTCATTCCTCGGGCCTGGACACAGACACAGCCCTGGGTTGCACTTGGCATTTTAGTAAAAGTATTTAAAGGAAAATATACCTTCACGCTGCTTTTTCTTTTTTCTCTTCACTTTCCAAGTTCTTGTTTTCCCCCAGTTCACCTTTTTGCATCCCTGATGAACTGCTTGAAAAGTCTGTCTGTGATCTCTCACCTCACAAGGCTCCCTTCTATTCCTAGCAAACAGGGGCTGTGGCTCTGCCCACATTTTTTCTCCATAGTGGCATGAGACTGTCACCCAGTGATGAAAATGTTGCCTGAGTGTTCTGGAGGAAAGGGCTGAGCCTGTTTTGTCTTCAGATTCTCGGAAAGTTTTTCACCAAAAAAGCAGGGCTAATGGTCAGTTGGGTGAAAAACAAAGGTGCAGACTGAGATAAAAATGCCTAGAACATAGGGTTAGGTACTGATTAACAAGATTTGATTTAGAGCATCATTTATCAGAGGAGTTATTTTGAATATTATGGCTGTAAACTAGGCCCTGAGAGCAGCCCAGGTTGAAGGAGAAGTTCAGACTTCTCCTGATGCATGTCCCAAGAATTCTTTTTAAAAAAAATTTTTGAGGTAGTGTCTCACTCTGTTGCCCAAGCTAGAGTGCAGTGGCATGATCACAGCTCACTGTAGCCCTAACCTCCTGGGCTCAAGCGCTTCTTCTGCCTCAGACTCCTGAGAAGCTGGGACTATAGGTGCGTGCCAAAACACCTGGCTAATTTTTTAATATTTTGTAGAGATGAGGTGTCACTATGTTGCCTAGGCTGGTCTCAAACTCCTGGGCTCGAGTGATCCTCCCACCTCAGCCTCCCAAAGTGCTGGGATTACAGGTGTGAAACATTGTGCCTGGCAATGTCCTGATAATTCCTGGCAAACCCTGGACTTTTGTCTCCTCCACCTATGACACTGTGGGCATTCCATAGCTGCCACTGTCTGAGCAAAGTTGTCCCAGATCAGCGGGGAACACACTCACACAGGCGTCCGTAATTTGCAGTCTGCCGCATCCGCAGGTCTTCAGTGGAATGGTGGAGACTTGGGCCAGCCACAGGGCTCCTGGCAGGGCTGCGATCTAGGAGGAAAAACAGAAAGGACTTGTTTGGCCTCGGCAGGCTTGCTGGTGTAACTCAGCCTCTCGGATCAGCAGGTATATGTGCGTGATCACTTCAACTACATAAAACTGGGTTTCAAGACATGTCTCTTTTCTTTCCAGAAAGAAATTTATTTTTATTTTTTGAAACAAATTGATAGTCTGAACAAGATTACAGAGAAACTGTTTGTACTGTTGAAAGTGAGACAGATACACGATTGATTAATGAGGCACCATGTGCATAGCAAACTGCCTGGGTTCATTGCCCCCAAGCAATTACTTAACATCTCTGTGCCTCAGGGGGCCGCATCTGTAAAATAGTGCTGACAATAACAGCACCTATGCCGTGGGGTTACTGTGAGGGTGAAGTGAGTTAACAGAGGAAGAACACTCAGCACAGCACCCAGGACGTCATAAGTGCCGAGTATGTATCTGTTGTTATTATGACTATGTTAAATACGTCCCATTTGTAAATAATTCGTTTAAAGAGGTCACTCAGGGTTTTTTATTTAGCAACTTTGTTCTGAGTACTGTGTCCATCTGACAGGTTCAGCAGGGCGAGTGTCTCTGAGCCTCTTGACTCTAATATTAAGAGTAGACGGCTGGAGATTTGAGATGTGTGCCTGGAACAACCCACTCTCCCTGGACAGCCCTAGGCTCTGCTAACCAGCATAAGACCAGTGGCCAGGTGTACAAGCCCTGGGACCCTTGGGATGAGCCCCGCCCCTTCTATGCCTCTAATGTGCTCTGTTTTCTGCTGAGACTCTTGGCCCTTCCAGGAGGTTTGATGTGCAACTTTTGGTCCTTTCCATAGATGAGCCATCTCTCCCAGCATTCCCCAAGGCTGCGTGCATGTAAGACTCTCCTAGGGAGTTCTCTGACCTCCCTCTTTGTTGCCAGGCCATACCTTAGACCAATGGAATCCAGCTCTCCAGGGTAGGGCCGCAGGTATTAGGACATGTTTCAAGCCCCCCAGTTATTTGCAATGTGCAGCCCAGGCTGAGAAAAAACTCTCTCCCTAGAAATTGTTCTGCTCTGTTAGTGAGATGACATTGGAGGCCCACAAAGAAGGAGACTGAAGGACCCCTAGAACCTCAGAATTTCTCCAGAAGAAACTCAGTTATCAAGGTGGGCTCACCTGGGTGCCAGGGCCTGACACTGGCTCCACATGTGTCATGGCCACCAGCATAAAGTCTGACTTACTTGTGGTGGAGACTGACTTCCCAATGTCGACCAAAGAGCGGTGGATGGGCTTCTTAGTTTGGTGACGATGCCTTCTCAGAAGGACGTAGCTGACCCTCTCCCGCAGCTCAGGCCTCAAGAGCCCATCCTCGATTTGCTTTTCAATGACATCATCTGCGTGGGAAACAAACATGCCTTGTCCCCGTGGCAGAGAATAGCCCCAGGGTGTGAGGGTCTTCAGTTTCGCCAGTTATGAGTGGGGTTAAGCAAGCTAGAGGTGGCAGGGGGTGTGGAAATAGTCCTGGCTTATTTAACTTTGGAAACCTGGGCATATCACCAACCCTCAGCCACTTCACATTCTGGGGCACATGCATGTTTCTGTGTGTGTGTGTGTGTGTGTGTGTGTGTGTGTGTGTGTGTGTGTGTAGAAGTGTCTGCTCTATGTTATTAATGAAAAGTAAAGAAACAGTCAATACGAAAGTGCCCCCAGGAAGCACAAATGCATCATGTTAAATGGTTTTAGTCCTAAATGGAATTCTTTTTAGAAAACTATTTTGGGCAAAATGCTTCTGGCAGATTGCGCTAGAACAAAACTCACAAAAAAACTTTTAGGGATAAGAAGACAAGTCATATCTTTTCTCCAACACACTGAGAGCTAGTTTCCTAGAGATGAATGGTGACTATTTTATCCTGAAAAGAAAACAGGTTGTCATAGCAAGAGGTGTCTTTGATTAGGCCAAGAGCACCCCTCCTTCCTCTTTGCTGCATTGCCGGACGGCATTTCAGGGGACAATCTTTTCTCCTCTGTGGGAGCTCTAAGTAGGACTGAAACCTGGACCCCAGGAGAGTGGCCCATGGTGGCCTCTGCCTCACCTATGATCTGTGGCAAGGAGCCGCTGTCCAAATCCAGCAGCACTGTTCCCGTCTGCAGGCAGGTGCGAAGCTCGAAGAGGCTGTGCAGCGACAGTGTGGACACATGGGGCTTGCTCCAGCGTTCTCCTCCTGCCTCTACCTTTTCTTCAAACTTTATCCACCTAAAGGGGTAAGGATGGGACTCAGTGTGGCCAGGGCCTTTGGGAGGAGGCCCCACCTGGGAGTCCCCAGGAGATGGTGTTGTGAGGGGGTTATGCTGTCTTTATTGCTAGGGTGTTGGTCCTAGACTCACAGGCAGAGGATCTTGGGGATACCCTCATTCTGTCCCTGACTCCTCTTGATGCTGTCATGCTAAGGACAAAGTGTTGCCCAGAGATTGACCCTATGTGGGCATGAGGGATCTTTTGGGGGGGGCGATGGAAATGTTCTAAAATTGGATTCTTGAGATGGTTGCATAGTTCTGTATACTTACTAAAAATTATTTAATTGTTCACTTAAAATGAGAGCATTTTAGGTTATTCTATATCAATAACTCTCTTTTAAAAAAAAAGTCATAACTGAAACCTGGTTACCCCAAGCTGGTCACACATGTGTGTTCAGAGTGGTTTGCTAGGAGCAGGAAAAATGTTCCCTGACAAAAAGTATTTCCCTCCAAACTCTGCAGCAGGGCCTGAGGTTTCTGTGCTTTCCACTCTGAATTTTGGATCTGAAAGGTCAGGTTAAAAGCCACATGTCATCTGGGGAAATTAAACCATGGTCGTGTAGAAATTTGGCTTTTTGAGAGCCTTGAGATCACAGGCGAGGGTGGAGGTGGTCGAGTGGGAAGGCCTTGGGCAGAGGTAGCACCCACTGCCACTTCAATCTATTCCAACTGAAATCCCAAGGGTGGATTTTTGGACTATGACTATCTAATTCTAAAATTCCTCTAAAAAATGAAACATCTTAGAATGGTTGAGGAAGTTTTAAGAAAGAAGAGGAATGGGGGTGGGCCATACCTCAGCACATATAAACACTTTCTGAAAAGCTCAAGTAATTAAGACAGTGTGATTCCAGGCCAGTTACAGACAAAGTACAGGGCAATAGTCCAGAGATAGACTAGACACCCATGGGAAGTGAGTTTTGATGAAGGAGATGTTTCAAAGACAAGCAACTTGAAAATTTTTCAAACTTAAATCTTCACTTTTCACCAAACACCATACTAAATTCTTTATGGATTAAAGCCTAACCATAAAAATAAATACGTAACAAACATGTAAATGTCCTAGAAGAGAATACATAAGAGTATTCTTATATTCTTGGAGAATATTGTGGAGAAAAGCTTTCTAAACAAGATGTAAAACCATAAAGGAAAAAAGGACATATTTTATTATATAAAAATAAACAGTTGGGTATGGTGGCTCACGTCTCTAATCCCAGCACTTTGGGAGGCAGAGGTGAGAGGACTGACTGAGCCTAGTGGTTCAAGACCAGCCTGGGCAACTAGGCAAGACCTCATCTCCACAATAAATTTAAAAAATTAGCTGGGCGTGATGGCACATGCCTGTAGTTCCAGCTACTTGGAAGACTGAGGCTTGGAAGACTTGAAAGGATCGCCTGAGCCCAGCAGGTCAAGGCTACAAGGGCCATGAGCGTATCACTGCACTCCAGCCTGGGTGACAGAGTGAGACTCCAACTCAAAAAAAAAAAACAAAACCCCAAACTTCTCTATAATAAATAAGATACAAACCAAGTTCAAAGAAAGTATTTTTGCAACAGAGCATCAAATGGCTAATATTTATAACATAACACTCCTTCAAATTAATAAGAAAAAGAAATGAAGATGGCCAATACACATATGAAAAAGGGCTCAACTCTACCAGTAAGGACTTCTAAATTACTACAAATAAAATAACATTCTTCATTTCTCATATTGGCAAACATTAAAAAGACAACTTCCTGTGTCAATGGAAACATGGGGAGATGGTCACTCATATACCATAGGTGTGACAGCACAGCCTTCCTGAGGTATGCAGCCTCTTTCAACGTTCTGAGTGCATGCCTTTGGGCCCAGTGGGTTCATTTCTAGGAAATTATCACAGGAATATAACTACCATCTGCAATCTGTTCCAGCTTTGGCTATTAGGCAAAGAACCAGAAATCACCAGGTTTTCAGTAGAAGCATGGTTACCTCAATTCTGTATGCCCATGCTGTAGAATACCCCCAAGAGATAAATAAAAAGTATGAGGGTGAACTTACGTACTGACAGGATTAACATTACCATCCCACTTTATAAAAAAGAAAAAGCAGGCTGGATGCAGTGGCTCAAGCCTATAATCCCAGCACTTTGGGAGGCCGAGGCAAGAGGATTGTCTGAGGCAAGAGGTTCACGGCCAGCCTGGGTAACACGGTGAGACAGTATTTCTACAATAAATCAAAAAAATTAGCCGGGTGTGGTAGCATGCGTCTGTAGTTCTGGTTACTTGAAAGGCTGAGGCGGATGGATCGCCTCAGCCCAGCAGGCTGACACTGGAGTGGCCGTGAGCCTGCCACTGTACTCCAGCCTGGGCAATGGAGTGAGACTCGAACTCCAAAAAAAAAAAAAAAGAAAAAGCATTAGTATGTGTGTCTGTGTGTGTGAGTGCATGCGCACATGTGTGCACAGGTATCTAAAAATGCCTAGCAAAAGTTTTGGAAAGTTCTATGTTAAATTGTGAACAATGGTTACTTTGAGCAGAGGAGTGGGATCATTGAGGGGCAGGATTTAAGAGACTTCTGCTCTGTCAGGACTAATGAGTATAGTAAGAATACAATCTATGAGGCAACACTACCAGGTTTTGAATCCCGCTCCATCATTCCCTAACTGTGGACCTTGAGTAAGTTACTCAATTCCTCATCACCTTTGTTTTCTTCAGGAATAATAATAGTATACAGTAATTAGAGCAGTGCCTAGAACATAAGATATATTCGATCAGTGTTAGCTATTAAGTTAACAGTAAAGAATAATACTTCTGTAATTTTAAGAAAATCTGTAAAAAGAAGAAAGTAAAGTCATTCAGAATTCTCCCAGCCAGAAGACATGATGGTTGAAATTTCAATGACTACTCTTCTTGATCTTCGTATGCTTGCCTTAACTTTACCTTAATGGCACCATTACCTTAATGCCACAAGGGCTTTAAGGGCATAATATCTAATGGACATCCTTTCATGTCCATAATCATTCATATAATTTTGAAGTCTTTTTAGTATTCCATTGTATTAATGTACCATAATTGATATGAACAGTTCTCAATTGGTGAACATTCAGATTATTTCTATTATTCTTTATTATAAACAAGGCTGGTTTAAACATCCCTGGTCCCTGATAAATATTTTCTTTAGGATAAACTCTCAGAAGTGGAATTGCTGTGTCTGCACATTTTTATATTTATGGCTTATAATATCAAATGTTTCCAGAAATCTTGTGTCAACATACACTCCCACCAATGTACACAAGATCTCACATTTCCTTAAAGTTGCTCAGACTCTAGTATTTTCATTCTTTTTCACATTTGTTCATTTGGTAATTGAAAAATTATATCACACTTCTGATTACTAGTGTGGTTGAACACCTTTTTCTTTGTCAGATTTCCTCCTCACATAATTGTGTCAGTACTTTGCATTATCAATGTTTAACATCTCAATTCCATACATTTCCTTGAGACAAATTAACCAGGCTCTTCATGGAGACTTGGAGGATCAGATGGACACAGGATGGGGAGATTTGATTAGAGGTAGCCTGGGAGATAAAGACCTAAAACATGGGATCTGGAGCCAGAGACCAGGCGGATGCTTGCCTTGGAGACTCACAAAGTAGTAGCTGATTTTTTCATGGGGAAATCCATTTGGAGGAGCATCATTTAAATTATGGTAGATCCAAAACTGTATGATACCAAGGGTAAGGCTTTTCAAAAAGTTGTGTTAACGTAAGTTGTGTAGATCAAAGGATAAGTCTAAATGTTTTAGTTGAGAAGATGCTCAACCTTTTTCCCTGAGGGGACCAGACATTCTTGAACAGGAGTTTCCCTTGACACCCCATTCTTCAGCCTTCTGCTCATACAAATGCAACTCCACCTGGAAAGAGTGATGGGAGCATGTCTTCTCTTTGAAGCATCCTCTACTAACTCCGGATAGCAAAGGCATGTGGCCCTCTCCACCTCTCAGGACTGTGTGGGGCACACAGCAAACATTAACTCCATACACACACAAAGACACTAACCCACTTGAGCAGAAACACTAGGTTACCTGACTTCAGGTTCAAGGCAATGCCAGAACTAGACCCTGCTACCAGAATCCTGAAGACCTGATTTTAAAACATTGCAGAATACTAGACCACTTCACCAGGGACACTTCTCTAGTTTCTTTTGTAACTATTTTGGGAATCTGGATGTTGAAGCATGAAGCCTGACACCTGGAACTTAGTTTTGTGTTTTAAAGTGAGCTAGATGGACCTTAAACAATTATCATAATACTATAAGAAAAGTATTGGCAGTAGTGGGAAACTGCCAGGGGAGGGTGGGGGCGGGATTGGCAGTAGTGGGAATCTGCTGGGGGGGGGGGGCGGAGCACACCTCATCAACAAGGGGTACATGCATAATGAATATTTGTATACCTAACCTTGAATTGTACCCCACATTTTAAAAATAAAAAAATAAATAAAGTGAGCTGGAAATTTAGCTCACTATCATCTTGAATGAAACAAGGAAACAACATGGAGGACCAAAGATTGACAGCAGTGGTTTTCAACCATGGCTGTCCATTAGAATTACCTGAAGAGATTTTTTAAAGTATCAATGCCTGGATGGTTACCCCACCAGTAGGGCGACCTGGCCATGAGGCTCCCAGGTTACCTGAGTGTGCCCTGAAGCTTGAGAAACCCCTGCTCTGTAGCCACAGAAGAATCATGTGACTTAGGGGTAGTTCAACTTGTCTGGGGTCCCAATGCAGGCAAACATAGCCTTGTACACATGGGTCTGATTCTCCTTATACAAGAGGGGACATGGCCTCTTTCCCTTAGAATGGCTACAAGCACACCAGCTGAGGCGCTTGCCTTTCTAGCATGGTCATTCTATGCTTGAGTTTCTCTGATTTATAACTGAAGTCTATTTACAGTCCATACTCTATGCCAATGTGTCTCAAAGTGTA